CCTCCTGTCCTACTGCCATCGTCCTGTCCTCCCTCTCTCCTCCCCTCCTGTCCTACTGCCATTGTCCTGTCCTCCCTCTCTCCTGTCCTACTGCCATCGTGTGTTCTCATCGTGTGCCATCATGTGTTCTCGCATACCCCGAGAGCATCTGGTCAAGGGGGTGGGTGCACAGGAATCCCATCTCTCCCAAGTGGTCATTCGCAAGTTTTTTCCCCTAACCCATCTGTCTATCTCCTCATTTGAATTCCACGCTGTCACAGTCACTAGCCCCATTTAAGCTTAATATCCTTGTCATCTATCGCCCTCCAGGTTCCCTTGGAGAGTTCATCAATGAGCTTGACGCCTTGATAAGTTCCTTTCCTGAGGATGGCTCACCCTTCACAGTTTTGGGGGATTTCAACCTCCCTACGTCTACATTTGACTAATTTCTCTCTGCCTCCTTCTTTCCACTCCTCTCCTCTTTTGACCTCACCCTCTCACCATCCCCCCCCACTCACAAGGCAGGCAATACGCTTGACTTCATCTTTACTAGATGTTTGCTCTTCTACTAATCTCACTGCAACTCCCCTCCATGTCTCCGACCACTACTTTGTATCCTTTTCTCTCTCGCTCTCCTCCAACACTACTCACTCTGCCCCCTACACAGATGGTAACGCGCCGCCGCAAACCTTCGCTCTCTCTCTCCCACTACTCTCTCCTCTTCCATCCTATCATCTCTTCCCTCTGCTCAATCCTTCTCCCTCCAATCTCCTGATTCTGCCTCCTCAACCCTCCTCTCCTCCCTTTCTGCATCCTTTGACTCCCTGTGTCCCCTATCCTCCCGGCCGGCTCGGTCCTCCCCTCCACCTCCGTGGCTTGATGACTCATTGCGAGCTCACAGAACAAGAGCTCCGGGCAGCTGAGCGGAAATGGAAGAAAACTAAACTCCCAGCCGACCTGGCATCTTTTCACTCCCTCCTCTCTACATTTTCTTCATCTGTTTCTGCTACTAAGGCCACTTTCTACCACTCTAAATTCCAAGCATCTGCCTCTAACCCTAGGAAGCTCTTTGCCACATTCTCCTCACTGCTGAATCCCCCCCCTCCTCCCTCTCTGTGGATGACTTTGTCAACCACTTTGAAAAGAAGGTTGACGACATCCGATCCTCGTTTGTTAAGTCTAATGACACTGCTGGTCCTGCTCACACTGCCCTACCCTATGCTTTGACTTTCTTTCTCCCCTCTCTCTCCAGATAAAATCTTGCGACTAGTGACTGCAGGCCGCCCAACAACCTGCCCGCTTGACCCCATCCTCTCCTCTATTCTCCAGACCATCTCCGGTGACCTTCTCCCCTACCTCACCTCGCTGATCAACTCATCCTTGACCGCTGGCCATGTCCCTTCCGTCTTCAAGAGAGCGAGAGTTGCACCCCTTCTCAAAAAAACCAACACTCGATCCCACTGATGTCAACAACTACAGACCAGTATCCCCTTCTTTCTTTTCTTTCCAAAACTATTGAGCGTGCCGTCTTTAGCCAACTCTCTTGCTATCTCTCTCAGAATGACCTTCTTGATCCAAACCAGTCAGGTTTCAGGACTGGTCATTCAACTGAGACTGCTCTTCTCTGTGTCACAGAGGCTCTCCGCACTGCTAAAGCTAACTCTCTCTCCTCTGCTCTTGTCCTTCTAGACCTGTCTGCTGCCTTTGATACAGTGAACCATCAGACCCTCCTCTCCACCCTCTCCGAGCTGGGCATCTCCGGCGCGGCTCACTCCTGGATTGCGTCCTACCTGACCGGTCGCTCCTACCAAGTGGCGTGGCGAGAAGCTGTCTCCGCACCACGTGCTCTCACCACTGGTGTCCCCCAGGGCTCAGTTCTAGGCCCTCTCCTTTTCTCCCTATACACCAAGTCACTTGGCTCTGTCATATCCTCACATGGCCTCTCCTATCATTGCTACGCTGACGATACACAACTAATCTTCTCCTTTCCCCCTTCTGATAACCAGGTGGCGAATCGCATCTCTGCATGTCTGGCCGACATATCAGTATGGATGACGGATCACCACCTCAAGCTGAACCCTGGCAAGACGGAGCTGCTCTTCCTCCCGGGGAAGGACTGCCCGTTCCATGATCTCGCCATCACGGTTGACAACTCCGTTGTGTCCTCCTCCCAGAGTGCGAAGAGCCTTGGCGTGACCCTGGACAACACCCTGTCGTTCTCCGCTAACATGAAGGCGGTGACCCGATCCTGCAGGTTCATGCTCTACAACATTCGGAGAGTACGACCCTGCCTTACACAGGAAGCGGCACAGGTCCTAATCCAGGCACTTGTCATCTCCCGTCTGGATTACTGCAACTCGCTGTTGGCTGGGCTCCCTGCCTGTGCCATTAAACCCCTACAAACTCATCCAGAATGCCGCAGCCCGTCTGGTGTTTCAACCTTCCCAAGTTCTCTCACGTCACCCCCCTCCTCCGCACACTCCACTGGCTTCCAGTTGAAGCTCGCATCCGTTACAAGACCATGGTGCTTGCCTATGGAGCAGTGAGGGGAACGGCACCTCCGTACCTTCAGGCTCTGATCAGTCCCTACACCCAACCGAGGGCATTGCGTTCATCCACCTCTGGCCTGCTGGCTCCCCTTCCTCTGCGGAAGCATAGTTTCCCGCTCAGCCCAGTCAAAACTGTTCGCTGCTCTGGCACCCCAATGGTGGAACAAGCTCCCTCACGACGCCAGGACAGCGGAGTCACTCACCACCTTCCGGAGACATTTGAAACCCCACCTCTTTAAGGAACACCTGGGATAGGATAAAGTAATCCTTCTACCCCCCCCCCCCCCCCCCCCCCCCCCAAAAAAAATAGTATAATTGTAAAGTGGTTATCCCACTGGCTATAGGGTGAATGCACCAACTTGTAGTCGCTCTGGATAAGAGCGTCTGCTAAATGACGTAAATGTGCCCTTGAGCAAGGCACTTAACCCTAATTGCTCCTGTAAGTCGCTCTGGATAAGAGCATCTGCTAAATGACTAAAATGTAAAATGTAAATGTAAATGTATCGTCCTGTGCTCCTCCTCTCCCCCCTCCTGTCCTACTGCCATCGTCCTGTCCTCCCTCTCTCCTCCCCTCCTGTCCTCCCTCTCTCCTCCCCTCCTGTCCTCCCTCTCTCCTCCCCTCCTGTCCTCCCTCTCTCCTCCCCTCCTGTCCTCCCTCTCTCCTCCCCTCCTGTCCTACTGCCATCGTCCTGTCCTCCCTCTCTCCTCCCCTCCTGTCCTACTGCCATCGTCCTGTCCTCCCTCTCTCCTCCCCTCCTGTCCTACTGCCATCGTCCTCCTCCTCCCTCTCTCCCCCCCTCCTGTCCTACTGCCATCGTCCTGTCCTCCCTCTCTCCTCCCCTCCTGTCCTACTGCCATCGTCCTGTGCTCCCTCTCTCCTCCCCTCCTGTCCTACTGCCATCGTCCTGTCCTCCCTCTCTCCTCCCCTCCTGTCCTACTGCCATCGTCCTGTCCTCCCTCTCTCCTCCCCTCCTGTCCTACTGCCATCGTCCTGTCCTCCCTCTCTCCTCCCCTCCTGTCCTACTGCCATCGTCCTCCTCCTCCCTCTCTCCCCCCCTCCTGTCCTACTGACATCGTCCTGTCCTCCCTCTCTCCTCCCCTCCTGTCCTACTGCCATCGTCCTGTCCTCCCTCTCCTCCTCCCCTCCTGTCCCTACTGCCATCGTCCTGTCCTCCCCTCTCTCCTCCCCTCCTGTCCTAACTGCCCTCGTCCTGTCCTCCCTCTCTCCCCCCCTCCTGTCCTACTGCCATCGTCCTGTCCTCCCTCTCTCCCCCCCTCCTGTCCTCCCTCTCTCCTCCCCTCCTGTCCTACTGCCATCATCCTGTCCTCCCTCTCTCCTCCCCTCCTGTCCTACTGCCATCGTCCTGTCCTCCCTCTCTCCTCCCCACAAACAGGTGGGTTGTTGCCTAATGCTAAATATTATATTACCCTGGATACCTATTACTCCTCTGAACCATGGTTACACTAACATCACTGTTTAATGTAGAGATGTATCTGTTTAATATAGAGATGTATCTGTTTAATATAGAGATGTATCTGTTTAATATAGAGATGTATCTGTTTAATATAGAGATGTATCTGTTTAATATAGAGATGTATCTGTTTAACATCACTGTTTAATATAGAGATGTATCTGTTTAACATCACTTCACTGTTTAATATAGAGATGTATCTGTTTAACATTACTGTTTAATATAGAGATGTATCTGTGTAACAGAGAGAGAGACAGAGAGAGGGAGAGAGAGAGCGCAAGAGAGAGAGAGAGAGAGAGAGAGAGAGAGAGACGAGAGAGGAGGAAGGGGGATGAAGAGGAGATGACGAGAGAACGGAGAGGAGACAGAGGGACAGAGAGAGAGAGAGACAGAGAGACAGAGAGACAGGAGAGAGAGAGAGAGAGACGAGAGAATAAAGGAAGAAAGAGAGGTGGTAGTGATGGTTGCAGGTACAAAAGGTTGCCATAGCGTTAGCCCCAGTATCTATCTATCTGATTGGCCAGTCAGCTCTCCCTGCAAAGGTCAGTTAGGCCAGCTGGTATCTAGGTACAGCCGCTGGACTGTCATCGTGATAGCGGCCCGGCAGACTGTACAAACACACAGAGCGAGTGGAGAGGAGAGGGCAAAGTCTGTCTCTAGGCTGCGAAGCCAGGCTACGCTACAACGGGCCAGGCGAGACCCGTTCACACTCACCACAACTGGGGAATGGGCCAACTGAATGCCCCAGCGCCTGCATTGCCATTAGTGCACACAGAACATTACTTTGTATTTCATACAGATTGAATATGTCTACATAACCAGATAGTGTGCGTCTGCAGCAGGTATGGTGCAGCGGTGACACTGAGTCAGAATCTGGAGCCGGACCAGACACTGCATTAAGTCACCAGTGATGACTCAGTGATATGGCCTGTGATAGGTCTGTTGATTTACGAGCCATATCGCACCAGGCTATGGGTCCAATGTAGGGGAGAGGTCAAGATTACACAGCTTTATAGACTAATGCAGGACAAGGGTCGGTATTAAGGCTCTCCATAGTCTGCTCAGGGGGAGGTATGGAGCCACGGGGAGGGGGGGACAGAGGAGAGAGAGGCGCTCTCAGTGTCACTAGGCAATAGGTCCTGAAGTTGTGGGGAGATGAGGGAGAAAGGGAGGAGACAGGGGTGAGACGGGTGAGACGGGGGTGAGACAGGGAAGACAGGGGTGAGACGGGGGTGAGACAGGGATGAGACGGGGAAAACAGGGGTGAGACGGAGAAGACAGGGGTGAGACGGGGGAGACAGGGTGAGACAGGGGGTGAGACGGGAAGACAGGGGTGGAGACGGGGGTGAGACGGGAAGACAGGGGTGAGACAGGGGTGAGACGGGGAAGACAGGGGTGAGACGGGGATGAGACGGAGAAGACAGGGGTGAGACGGGGACGACAGGGGTGAGACAGGGGTGATACGGGGAAGACAGGAGTGAGACGGGGGTGAGATGGGGGTGAGACGGGAAGACAGGGGTGAGACGGGGGTGAGACGGGGAAGACAGGGGTGAGACGGGGGTGAGACGGAGAAGACAGGGGTGAGACAAGGGTGAGACGGGGGAGACAGGGGTGAGACAAGGGTGAGACGGGGGTGAGACGGGGGAGACAGGGGTGAGGCGGGGGTGAGGGGGTCCCATAGGTAATGTCCAGTAACAAGGATTAATACTCTCTCTTCAGGAACATATGCAGAGTAGTAGTAGTAGTAGTAGTAGTAGTAGTAGTAGTAGTAGTAGTAGTAGTAGCAGCAGTAGTAGTAGTAGTAGTAGTAGTAGTAGTAGTAGTAGTAGTAGTAGTAGTAGCAGTAGTAGTAGTAGCAGTAGTAGCAGTAGTAGTAGTAGTAGTAGTAGTAGTAGTAGTAATAGTAGTAGTAGTAGTAGTAGTAGTAGTAGTAGTAGTAGTGGTAGTAGTAGTAGTAGTAGTAGTAGTAGTAGTAGTAGTAGTAGTAGCAGTAGTAGTAGTAGTAGTAGTAGTAGTAGTAGTAGTAGTAGCAGTAGTAGTAGTAGTAGTAGTAGTAGTAGTAGTAGTAGTAGTAGTAGTAGCAGTGTAGAATTCTTCCTTGTTAAATCAACACCCTCAAACACAAGCACAGTTCATGAAGAAGAGACAAAGAGATGACAGTAGATGACCTCTGGTAAACCTGCTGTAGTTTGAAGAGATGACAGTAGATGACCTCAGGTAAACCTGCTGTAGTTTGAAGAGATGACAGTAGATGACCTCAGGGAAACATGCTGTAGTTTGAAGAGATGACAGTAGATGACCTCTGGTAAACCTGCTGTAGTTTGAAGAGATGACAGTAGATGACCTCAGGGAAACCTGCTGTAGTTTGAAGAGATGACAGTAGATGACCTCAGGGAAACCTGCTGTAGTTTGAAGAGATGACAGTAGATGACCTCAGGGAAACCTGCTGTAGTTTGAAGAGATGACAGTAGATGACCTCAGGGAAACATGCTGTAGTTTGAAGAGATGACAGTAGATGACCTCAGGGAAACCTGCTGTAGTTTGAAGAGATGACAGTAGATGACCTCAGGGAAACCTGCTGTAGTTTGAAGAGATGACAGTAGATGACCTCTGGTAAACCTGCTGTAGTTTGAAGAGATGACAGTAGATGACCTCAGGTAAACCTGCTGTAGTTTGAAGAGATGACAGTATGATGGAGCTTTAGTCTGTCTGTTTCTCTCCTGATGACTCCACTATCACTGATTACTTCTGATCACATGACTGGACTATCTGATCACACGACTGGACTATCTGATCAATGGACTGGACTATCTGATCACATGACTGGACTATCTGATCACACGACTGGACTATCTGATCACACGACTGGACTATCTGATCACACGACTGGACTATCTGATCACACGACTGGACTATCTGATCACATGACTGGACTATCTGATCACATGACTGGACTATCTGATCACACGACTGGACTATCTGATCACACGACTGGACTATCTGATCACATGACTGGACTATCTGATCACACGACTGGACTATCTGATCACACGACTGGACTATCTGATCACACGACTGGACTATATGATCACACGACTGGACTATCTGATCACACGACTGGACTATCTGATAACCCAGTTACTCTGTTGCACCCTCTGGTCGCCTGAACCAACTCCTTCAGCCAGCCAATCAGACCAAGTGACTCCTTCAGTCAGCCAATCAGATCAAGCCAAGCCTTCAGTCACTAAGCCCAGATCAGCACTACAGTGCATGCTGAATGGGTCTTTACTGTAAAACAATTCTGTTTTCTTCTCTCTAAGTCACTCTCTCTGGTCATCTTTCCAAGTCTTGTATCGCCAGACTGTACAGAATTCATTCAGCTACTTTCAAAACAGAGCGAGACGGACAGGGTACATTAAGATTCCTCAGATCAGCTTGTTAGAAACTGCTAGAAGCCCAACAGGAGTTTAACTCTAAGGTTGTATGAGTGTATAAGGGGTTTGGCAGACCAGAGGTTTCTGTGAGAGGGGGTAAAGTCCTGTGTGTAATGAGAGGCCCAGGGCCAAGTTGGGAGGTTGGGAGGTTGGGAGGTTGGGAGGCCCAGGGCCAAGTTGGGAGGTTGGGAGGTTGGGAGGTTGGGAGGCCCAGGGCCAAGTTGGGAGGTTGGGAGGCCCAGGGCCAAGTTGGGAGGTTGGGAGGTTGGGAGGTTGGGAGGCCCAGGGCCAAGTTGGGAGGTTGGGAGGTTGGGAGGCTTGGAGGTTGGGAGGCTGGGAGGTTGGGAGGTTGGGAGGCCCAGGGCCAAGTTGGGAGGTTGGGAGGTTGGGAGGCTTGGAGGTTGGGAGGTTGGGAGGTTGGGAGGCCCAGGGCCAGGTTGGGAGGTTGGGAGGTTGGGAGGTTGGGAGGCCCAGGGCCAGGCTGGGAGGCTGGGAGGCTGGGAGGCTGGGAGGCTGGGAGGCTGGGAGGCTGGGAGGCTTGGCGGGTCAATGATCTTGTTTTACAAGATCCTCTGACAGACCTAGCCCTAACCCAGCCTTAAGACAGCCCTTACCCAGCCCTAACCCAGTCCTAACCCAGCCCTAACCCAGTCCTAACCCAGCCCTAACCCAGTTCTAACCCAGCATTAACCCAGCCTTAACCCAGTCCTAACCCAGCCCTAACCCAGCCCTAACCCAGTCCTAACCCAGCCCTAACCCAGTTCTAACCCAGCATTAACCCAGCCTTAACCCAGTCCTAACCCAGCATTAACCCAGCCTTAACCCAGTCCTAACCCAGCCTTAACCCAGCCCTAACCCAGTCCTAACCCAGCCTTAAGACAGCCCTTACCCAGCCCTAACCCAGTCCTAACCCAGCCCTAACCCAGTCCTAACCCAGCCTTAAGACAGCCCTTACCCAGCCCTAACCCAGCCCTAACCCAGTCCTAACCCAGCCTTAAGACAGCCCTTACCCAGCCCTAACCCAGTCCTAACCCCACCCCTAACCCAGTTCTAACCCAGCATTAACCCAGCCTTAACCCAGCCCTAACCCAGCCTTAACCCAGCCTTAACCCAGTCCTAACCCAGCCTTAACCCAGCCCTAACCCAGTCCTAACCCAGCCTTAAGACAGCCCTTACCCAGCCCTAACCCAGTCCTAACCCAGCCTTAAGACAGCCCTTACCCAGCCCTAACCCAGTCCTAACCCAGCCCTAACCCAGTTCTAACCCAGCATTAACCCAGCCTTAACCCAGCCCTAACCCAGCCTTAACCCAGCCTTAACCCAGTCCTAACCCAGCCTTAACCCAGCCCTAACCCAGTCCTAACCCAGCCTTAAGACAGCCCTTACCCAGCCCTAACCCAGTCCTAACCCAGCCCTAACCCAGTTCTAACCCAGCATTAACCCAGCCTTAACCCAGCCCTAACCCAGCCTTAACCCAGCCTTAACCCAGTCCTAACCCAGCCTTAAGACAGCCCTAACCCAGCCCTAACCCAGTTCTAACCCAGCATTAACCCAGCCTTAACCCAGCCTTAACCCAGCCTTAACCCAGTCTTAACCCAGCCTTAACCCAGCCTTAAAACAGCCCTAACCCAACCCTAACCCAGCCTTAACCCAGCCTTAACCCAGCCCTAACCGAGCCCTAACCCAGTCTTAACCCAGCCTTAACCCAGCCTTAAAACAGCCCTAACCCAACCCTAACCCAGCCTTAACCCAGCCTTAACCCAGTCTTAACCCAGCCTTAACCCAGCCTTAAAACAGCCCTAACCCAGCCCTAGCCCAGCCCTAACCCAGCCTTAAGACAGCCCTTACCCAGCCCTAACCCAGTCCTAACCCAGCCTTAACCCAGTCCTAACCCAGCCTTAAGACAGCCCTTACCCAGCCCTAACCCAGCCCTAACCCAGTCCTAACCCAGCCTTAACCCAGCCTTAACCCAGTCCTAACCCAGCCTTAAGACAGCCCTTACCCAGCCCTAACCCAGTCCTAACCCAGCCCTAACCCAGTCCTAACCCAGCCTTAACCCAGCCCTAACCCAGCCCTAACCCAGCCTTAACCCAGCCCTAACCCAGTCCTAACCCAGCCCTAACCCAGTCCTAACCCAGCTTTAACCCAGCCTTAACCCAGCCTTAACCCAGCCCTAACCCAGCCCTAACCCAGCCTTAACCCAGTTTTAAGACAGCCCTTACCCAGCCCTTACCCAGCCTTAACCCAGCCTTAACCCAGCCTTAACCCAGCCTTAACCCAGTCTTAAGACAGCCCTAACCCAGCCTTAACCCAGCCTTAACCCAGCCTTAACCCAGCCTTAACCCAGCCTTAACCCAGTCTTAAGACAGCCCTAACCCAGCCTTAACCCAGCCTTAACCCAGTCTTAAGACAGCCCTAACCCAGCCTTAACCCAGCCCTAACCCAGCCTTAACCCAGTCCTAACCCAGCCTTAACCCAGCCTTAACCCAGCCCTAACCCAGCCCTAACCCAGCCTTAACCCAGCCCTAACCCAGCCCTAACCCAGCCTTAACCCAGCCCTAACCCAGCCTTAACCCAGCCCTAACCCAGCCCTAACCCAGCCCTAACCCAGCCCTAACCCAGCCCTAACCCAGCCCTAACCCAGTCCTAACCCAGCCCTAACCCAACCTTAACCCAGCCTTAACACATCACCTTAACCTTAACCCTTTAACCTAACTCCTAACCCTAACTCCTAACCCTAACCCTAACCCTAACCCTAACCGCTAACCCCTAGCCTAGCTAACGTTAGTCACCTAGCTAACGTTAGCGTTAGCCACCTAGCCACCTAGCTAACATTAGTGACAACAAATTGGAATTCGTACCATATCATATGTTTTGCAAATTCGTGACATATTTCCCCATTCCCCATACGAATTGCAACTCATAACATATCATACGAATTTTAATTCATAACATATTATACGCAAATGGATGATGGACAGCCACAAATTAATGTATACCATACAAAACGTAACATATCATACTAATTGGAGTGTTACAGATTTACATGTATTATGTTACATCTGCCCCTGAGTCCAGGTTGTAGAATCCGCTTTATCGGACTACTTCTGCATTGATCGGGTCGCTTGCGCTTCCTGTTTGAGTTTTTGCTTGTAAGCAGGAATCCGGAGGATAGAGCTATGGTCAGATTTGGTCCTCTGTAGCTCAGCTGGTAGAGCACGGCGCTTGTAACGCCAAGGTAGTGGGTTCGATCCCCGGGACCACCCATACGTAAAAATTGTATGCGCGCATGACTGTAAGTCGCTTTGGATAAAAGCGTCTGCTAAATGGCATATTATTATTATTTGCCAAATTGAGGGCAAGGGAGAAGATTTGTATGGGTATCTGTGTGTGGAGTAAAGGTGATCAAGCGTTTTGTCACCCCTAGTTGCACAGGTGACATGCTGGTAGAAATTAGGTAAGACGGATTTCAGTTTCCCTGCATTAAAATCACCGGCCACTAGGAGTGCCGCCTCTGGATGAGCATTTTGTGTCGTCTGCAAACTTGATGATTGAGTTGGAGGTGTGCTTGGCCACACAGTCATGGGTGAACAGGGAGTACAGGAGGGGGCTGAGCACGCACCCTTGTGGGGCCCCAGTGTTGAGGATCAGCGAAGTGGAGGTGTTGTTTCCTACCTTCACCACCTGGGGCGGTATGCAAATTGAAGTGGGTGACAGGTAAGGTGGAGGTGATATGATCCTTGACTAGTCTCTCAAAGCACTTCATGATGACAGAAGTGAGTGCGACGGGGCGATAGTGATTTAGTTCAGTTACCTTAGCATTCTTGGGTACAGGAACAATGGTGGCCATCTTGAAGCATGTGGGGACGGCAGACTGGGATAGGGAGAGATTGAATATGTCCGTAAACACACCAGCCAGCTGGTCTGAACATGCTCTGAGGACGCGGCTAGGGATGCCGTCTGGGCCGGCAGCCTTGCAGGGGTTAACACGTTTAAATGTCTTACTCACGTCGGCCACGGAGAAGGAGAGGCCACAGTCCTTGGTAGCGGGCCGCGTCGGTGGCTCTGTGTTATCCTCAAAGCGGGCAAAGAACTTGTTTAGCTTGTCTGGCAGCAAGACGTCGGTGTCGGCGACGTGGCCGGTTTTCCTTTTGAAGTCGGTGATTGTCTGTAAACCCTGCCACAAACTTCTAGTGTGTGTGCCTATGTGTGTGTGTGTGTGTGTGTGTGTGTTTGTGTGTGTGTTTGTGTGTGTGCATATGTGTGTGTGTGTGTGTGTGCAAGGACCGGAGAGGTCATACATTTCAACCTGATCCAGCCCTGGACCAACAACAACAACAACAACAACAACAACAACAACAACATCAACAACAACAACAACACAACAACAACATGACCCGTAAAAGACAACAGGTGACAGCTAGGTAGCCACATGATGGAGAACAATCTGTTAAAACAAGTCAGAACAGTGTATCTAAACTGGGAAGTGATTGGTTGAAGAACAGGAGCGTAACAACATCAGAGAAGTCTGTGGTATCTAGACTGTAGCATTATCCATCACTGATAGTCATGCGTTGATGTGGTACATGATGTCTAACGCCGTTGATGTGGTACATGATGTCTAACACCGTTGATGTGGTACATGATGTCTAACACCGTTGATGTGGTACATGATGTCTAACACCGTTGATGTGGTACATGATGTCTAACACCGTTGATGTGGTACATGATGTCTAACACCGTTGATGTGGTCATGATGTCTAACACCATTAATGTGGTACATGATGTCTAACACCGTTGATGTGGTACATGATGTCTAACACCGTTGATGTGGTACATGATGTCTAACACCATTGATGTGGTACATGATGTCTAACACCGTTGATGTGGCACATGATGTCTAACACCATTGATGTGGTTCATGATGTCTAACACCATTGATGTGGTACATGATGTCTAACGCCATTGATGTGGTACATGATGTCTAACACCGTTGATGTGGCACATGATGTCTAACACCATTGATGTGGTTCATGATGTCTAACACCATTGATGTGGTACATGATGTCTAACGCCATTGATGTGGTACATGATGTCTAACACCGTTGATGTGGTACATGATGTCTAACACCGTTGATGTGGTACATGATGTCTAACACCATTGATGTATTCACCAAATGCCCAAAGATATGGGATATTATAAACTGGGTGGTTCGAGCCCTGAATGCTGATTGGCTGACAGCCGTGGTATATCAGACCGAATACCGAATACCACAGGTATGACATACATTGGTAATTACATTGGTAACCAGTTTATAATAGCAATAAGGCACCTCGGGGGTTTGTGGTATATGGCCAATATACCACGGCTAAGGGCTGTATCCAGGTACTCCGCGTTGCGTCGTGCGTAAGAACAGCCCTTAGCCGTGGTATATTGGCCATATACCACAACCCCTCGGGCGTTATTGCTTAAATATATTGATTAATGTACTGCGTTGTTGAGGGAGCTAGCGCAAACATTTCACTGCAACTTGTATACCTGCTGTAAACTGTGTATGTGATGAATACATTTGATTTTATATCATATTAAATGGAGTCAATAACCTCAGTCAGCAAGACTCCTGGTTCCTCTAAACAGGATCACTGAACCGTCCAACGTGCTACACCAGGCCTTTTCAGCCTTCCAGTCTCTCAGTCAGCAAGACTCCTGGTTCCTCTAAACAGGATCACTGAACCGTCCAACGTGCTACACCAGGCCTTTCAGCCTTCCAGTCTCTCAGTCAGCAAGACTCCTGGTTCCTCTAAACAGGATCACTGAACCGTCCAACATGCTACACCAGGCCTTTCAGCCTTCCAGTCTCTCAGTCAGCAAGACTCCTGGTTCCTCTAAACAGGATCACTGAACCGTCCAACATGCTACACCAGGCCTTTTCAGCCTTCCAGTCTACTCCTGGATCCTCTAAACAGGATCACTGAACCGTCCAACGTGCTACACCAGGCCTTTTCAGCCTTCCAGTCTCTCAGTCAGGGCTTTGACAAATTAGACAACATTCCCCAACCCACTGATTGTCTTTATCTAGCGAGTGGGAGAGGTGGAAAAAATGACTCTGCCAAAATATGAAGCTGTCAATCTGATGATCTCTCTGACAGGAATAGCAGAGGTCCAACTGGGCGAGACGAGGAGACGTCCCAAATGGCACCCTGTTACCTATATAGCGGCCCTGGTCTAAAGTAGTGCACTATATAGGGAATAGGGTGCCATTCTCTGGTCTAAAGTAGTGCACTATATAGGGAATAGGGTGCCATTTGGGATGCAGTTTGAGAATGACAGCCAGGTCACGCGTGATACGAGTCAGTATTCAACTTTACCTTCAAGTAGATTTCGGTTTTGCTATGGGGATGGCGGATGGGGGTAAGGATCTGCCTCTGATTCCAAGAGTTTGAATCCAGTGACAAAAAAGTATCCGAAACCTTAACCCTTACCTTAACCCTTACCTTAACCCTTACCTTAACCCTTACCTTAACCCTTACCTTAACCCTTACCTTAACCTTACCTTAACCCTTACATTAACCCTTACATTAACCCTTACATTAACCCTTACCTTAACCCTTACCTTAACCTTGACCGTAACCCTTACCTAACCCTTACCTAACCATTAACCTAACCATTACCTTAACCCTTACCTTAAAAACCCTTACCTTAACCCTTACCTTAACCCTTACCTTAAACCCTTAACCTTAACCCTTAACTTAACCATTACCTTAACCATTACCCTTAACCCTTTAACTTAACCCTTACCTTAACCCGTACCTTAACCCTTACCCTTAACCCTTACCTTAACCCCTTAACCTAACCTTAACCCTTACCTTAACCCTTACCTTACTAACCCTTACCTTAACCCTTACCTTAACCCTTACCTTAACCCTTACCTTAACCCTTACCTTAACCATTACCCTTAACCCTTACCTTAACCCTTACATTAACCCTTACCTTAACCCTTACCTTAACCCTTACCTTAACCCTTACCTTAACCATTAGGAGTTAATGTCTAAACTTAACCTTAAACACGTTTGGAACAACTTCTAAATTCGACGTGAACATGGATGAACGTCTAATTCTGATGTGAGACGGTGAGAGCAGGTAGGATAATCACGATCACCCTCCTCACCAATGTGACAGACGGGTTAAATGTCTGACGGCAACATCACAACATCACAACATCACAACATCACAACATCACAACATCTCACCATGTGACAGACAAGTTTAAATGTCTGACGGCATCATCACAACATCACATCATCACAACATCACAACATCACAACATTTCACATGTGACAGACAGGTTTAAATGTCTGACGGCATCATCACAACATCACATCATCACAACATCACAACATCACAACATCACAACATTTCACATGTGACAGACAGGTTTAAATGTCTGACGGCAACATCACAACATCACAACATCACAACATCACAACATCTCACCATGTGACAGACAAGTTTAGGGAAAATAGGATTTTTAATGGTCAAACAATTTTACACTCCTTACAATCCTTCTATTTCACAAAAACAAAGCTGTGGGTGCCTGTGTGTGTGTGCAGTGCATGTGCACAGTGTTTGTGTGTGTGTGTGTGTGTGTGTGTGTGTGTACAGTGCACAGTGTTTGTGTGTGTGTGTGTGTGCACAGTGTTTGTGTGTGTGTGTGTGGAGGCTGCTGAGGGGAGGACGACTTATAATAATGGCTGGAATGGATTCATAATAATGTCTGGAATGGATTCATAATAATGGCTGGAATGGATTCATAATAATGGCTGGAATGGATTCATAATAATGTCTGGAATGGATTCATAATAATGGCTGGAATGGATTCATAATAATGGCTGGAATGGATTCATAATAATGGCTGGAATGGATTCATAATAATGGCTGGAATGGATTCATAATAATGGCTGGAATGGATTCATAATAATGGCTGGAATGGATTCATAATAATGCTGGAATGGATTCATAATAATGGCTGGAATGGATTCATAATAATGGCTGGAATGGATTCATAATAATGGCTGGAATGGATTCATAATAATGGCTGGAATGGATTCATAATAATGGCTGGAATGGATTCATAATAATGGCTGGAATGGATTCATAATAATGTCTGGAATGGATTCATAATAATGTCTGGAATGGATTCATAATAATGGCTGGAATGGATTCATAATAATGGCTGGAATGGATTCATAATAATGGCTGGAATGGATTCATAATAATGTCTGGAATGGATTCATAATAATGGCTGGAATGGATTCATAATAATGGCTGGAATGGATTCATAATAATGGCTGGAATGGATTCATAATAATGGCTGGAATGGATTCAATGGAATGGTGGTTCAATGGAACACGTGGTTTCCGTGGTTTCTGTGTGTTTGATGCCATTCCATTTCCTCCCATTCCACACATTATTATGAGTCGTCCTCCCCTCAGCAGCCCCCAATGGTGCACACGTGTGTGTGTCTGTGTGTGTTTGCGTGAATGTGTGTGTCTGTGTGTGTTTGCGTGAATGTGTGTGTGTGTGATGGGTCCTACAGGGGCAGGAAAGTAACAGCTGCTGTGATGACTGCGCTGATGGGGAACCAGTCTGGACTGAGGGCTGGAAGGGAAGGTATGGGGAACCAGTCTGGACTGAGGGCTGGAAGGGAAGGTATGGGGAACCAGTCTGGACTGAGGGCTGGAAGGGAAGGTATGGGGAACCAGTCTGGACTGAGGGCTGGAAGGGAAGGTATGGGGAACCAGTCTGGACTGAGGGACTGGAAGGGAAGGTATGGGGAACCAGTCTGGACTGAGGACTGGAAGGGAAGGTATGGGGAACCAGTCTGGACTGAGGGCTGGAAGGGAAGGTATGGGGAACCAGTCTGGACTGAGGGCTGGAAGGGAAGGTATGGGGAACCAGTCTGGACTGAGGGCTGGAAGGGAAGGTATGGGGAACCAGTCTGGACTGAGGACTGGAAGGGAAGGTATGGGGAACCAGTCTGGACTGAGGGCTGGAAGGGAAGGTATGGGGGAACCAGTCTGGACTGAGGGCTGGAAGGGAAAGGTATGGGGAACCAGTCTGGACTGAGGGCTGGAAGGGAAGGTATGGGGAACCAGTCTGGACTGAGGGCTGGAAGGGAAGGTATGGGGAACCAGTCTGGACTGAGGGCTGGAAGGGAAGGTATGGGGAACCAGTCTGGACTGAGGGCTGGAAGGGAAGGTATGGGGAACCAGTCTGGACTGAGGACTGGAAGGGAAGGTATGGGGAACCAGCCTGGACTGAGGGCTGGAAGGGAAGGTATGGGGAACCAGTCTGGACTGAGGGCTGGAAGGGAAGGTATGGGGAACCAGTCTGGACTGAGGGCTGGAAGGGAAGGTATGGGGAACAGTCATTGATGGTCACCTAACAGGGTTCAATGAAGTAAGAGGGGAGGTCACACACTCACGTGAGGACTGCATATGTTTAGGGGGAGGGGAAGGGAGTTGGATCAACGTCTAGCTGGAGCTGGTCTGAGAGGTTGGTTAGAAATGCCCTCACCTGCTATCTACTGAATGCTGATTGGTTTTTGGTTCTGCCCGTTATAGTTCTGTCCAGTTAGACCGTGATGCTGAGGCCCGTTACAGTTCTGTCCAGTTAGACCGTGATGCTGAGGCCCGTTATAGTTCTGTCCAGTTAGACCGTGATGCTGAGGCCCGTTATAGTTCTGTCCAGTTAGACCGTGATGCTGAGGCCCGTTATAGTTCTGTCCAGTTAGACCGTGATGCTGAGGCCCGTTATAGTTCTGTCCAGTTAGACCGTGATGCTGAGGCCCGTTATAGTTCTGTCCAGTTAGACCGTGATGCTTAGGCCCGTTATAGTTCTGTCCAGTTAGACCGTGATGCTGAGGCCCCGTTATAGTTCTGTCCAGTTAGACCGTGATGCTTAGGCCCGTTATAGTTCTGTCCAGTTAGACCGTGATGCTGAGGCCCGTTATAGTTCTGTCCAGTTAGACCGTGATGCTGAGGCCCGTTATAGTTCTGTCCAGTTAGACCAGTTGATCACCACCACACACCATCTTGTTGTTACAGATCCTCAGCCAACACGTGCATCCTTTGATTCATTATACACAGTGGAGAGGTTCATAGCTCTCACCATGAGTCAGGAGGACAGGTAATATAGCAGTATCCCAAACGGCACCCTACTTTCTACTTAGTGCACTACTTTTGACCAGAGGTTATGGGGATTAGGGTGCAATTTGGGACGCGCCACTACGAGCGAGGAGGAGCAGAGCGGTCTTCCAGTAACCCGACCTGGGGCTGGTCCTCTCCGGGCATGCTGCTGCAGGTGGTACCTGGTGGGAGTCAGGGTCAGAGTCAAGGCGTGCTGGGCTGTTACTGGGAAGTTAGCAGCTTGCTGAGAACAGCCAGGGATCTGTGTCATAAATGTCTGATTCATATCCAAACCTCTCCATCACAGAACTATTTAAAAATATGACTGCTATAAACTGGCCGCTTCATCAACGCTAAACGGGCACATCAGTCAATCAGTGTGGGTGTGTGTGTCTGTGTGTGTACTGTGTGTGTGTGTGTGTGTGTGTGTGTGTGTGTGTGTGTGTGTGTGTGTGTGTGTGTGTGTGTGTGTGTGTGTGTGTGTGCCTCTCTGAATGACTGATGCCCAGTAGATAATTTCCTCTCACAGATCAGATCACAGTTGAAATGTATTTTTCCTCTCTCCTCGTAATACATGTCCATGTTTCCTTAACAGATGGGCAGAGATGAAAACATTTGAAACTTTAAGCATAAAAATGAATGATGAATCCTTTCTAAAACAGCCTCTCTATTTGTCGATCATGCCAAGATACGTTTGTTTAAAGTAAACCTCCTCTAAGAATGTGGCAGGACCGTAATGTAGCGCCGGAAACATCTGGAAAACATTATTCCCAGTTGTGTTTTTTCATTGTTTGTCTTTTAAAAACCAAAGGCCCCTAACGGTTTCGATAATTAAGCATAAAGAACGTGGATATTGGTTCCTATAATCTTTCATTCATGTGGGCCGGGCCGGACAGGCCCACTCATAAAACCGGGTTGTGTGGAGCTGTCAGTGGTGAGTGAGTACGGGAGTCTGCTGGGCCAAGAACACTGAGTTTCATTAAACAGTTCAGATAAGGCAACACACCAAGGAGGTATTTCTCCCTCCCTCCCTCCCTCCCTCCCTCCCTCCCTCCCTCCCTCCCTCCCTCCCTCCCTCCACTCCTCTCAGGACTACCTTCCCCTCCAACATCATGATGTCACCAGGGTCTCTGAGCCTGATTTACCAACTCTGATCCAGGTTGAAGTTCCTCCTCTGGGCCACCTTGATATAACTGATATCGTCGTAGTGCCGGACCACATAACTCTCCGCAACTCCTGGCTGCTGCCACGGCTAAGAGTGGGGATCAGGGGGGGGGGGTCAGGACCAGATGGGAACAGCTCAGTGTAAATCTAACTGTGAGAGAGGAGGGGGTCAGCACCTGGTGGGAATAGCTCAGGGTAAATCTAACTGTGAGAGAGGAGGGGGTCAGCACCTGGTGGGAATTGCTCAGGGTAAATCTAACTGTGAGAGAGGAGGGGGGGGGGGGGGGGGGGGAGCAGATGGGAACAGCTCAATGTAAATCTAACTAATATCATATATAGTAAGCAGTAGTGATAAGAAGAGAGTGATATACAAAATATGTAATGTTGTTTAATTTATTATAGTCACAAAACACCTGTGCCAATTCACCAGAAAAACACCAGAAAAACACACGTCAGCAAATTCCACTGCGGTGATTACAAAGCTGTTTGCTCCTAGACTCTCAGTACAGACATGTTCTACACGGAGATAGTCACTGCAGTGAATCTGACAGCAGCTAAAGCCTGCACGTCCTCACGAGAGAAAACAGAGACTGTCACAGCTCAGGTCACAGACTGCTATTTGGGACTCACCAAGCAACAAATAAATAAAGACAGAACTAAAAGCCAAATCTTCCTCCCTTTTGGGGGGCCAGGGGAACATGGTACACTGGAGAGAAAGAGTTGCTGGAAAAGTCTCTCCTCTCTCCTCTCTCCCTCTCTCTCTCTCTTAGAGCCTAATATTTATTGTAGGATGCCAGCTCCGTGGCTGGAACCTCTCACACCATCACATTTTTACATTTACATTTTAGTTATTTAGCAGATGCTCTTATCCAGAGCGACTTACAGTTAGTGACCCCCCCCCCCCCGTGGGAATCGAACCCACAACCCTGGCGTTGCAAACGCCATGCTCTACCAACTGAGCTACAGTGGGGGAAAAAGTATTTAGTCAGCCACCAATTGTGCAAGTTCATCATAGGTACACGTCAACTATGACAGACAAATAGAGAAAAAAAAATCATGAAAATCACATTGTAGGATTTTTTATGAATTTATTTGCAAATTATGGTGGAAAATAAGTATTCGGTCACCTACAAACAAGCAAGATTTCTGGCTCTCACAGACCTGTAACTTCTTCTTTAAGAGGCTCCTCTGTCCTCCACTTGTTACCTGTATTAATGGCACCTGTTTGAACTTGTTATCAGTATAAAAGACACCTGTCCACAACCTCAAACAGTCACACTCCAAACTCCACTATGGCCAAGACCAAAGAGCTGTCAAAGGACACCAGAAACAAAATTGTAGACCTGCACCAGGCTGGGAAGACTGAATCTGCAATAGGTAAGCAGCTTGGTTTGAAGAAATCAACTGTGGGAGCAATTATTAGGAAATGGAAGACATACAAGACCACTGATAATCTCCCTCGATCTGGGGCTCCACGCAAGATCTCACCCCGTGGGGTCAAAATGATCACAAGAACGGTGAGCAAAAATCCCAGAACCACACGGGGGGACCTAGTGAATGACCTGCAGAGAGCTGGGACCAAAGTAACAAAGCCTACCATCAGTAACACACTACGCCGCCAGGGACTCAAATCCTGCAGTGCCAGACGTGTCCCCCTGCTTAAGCCAGTACATGTCCAGGCCCGTCTGATGTTTGCTAGAGTGCATTTGGATGATCCAGAAGAGGATTGGGAGAATGTCATATGGTCAGATGAAACCAAAATAGAACTTTTTGGTAAAAACTCAACTCGTCGTGTTTGGAGGACAAAGAATGCTGAGTTGCATCCAAAGAACACCATACCTACTGTGAAGCATGGGGGTGGAAACATCATGCTTTGGGGCTGTTTTTTCTGCAAAGGGACCAGGACGACTGATCCGTGTAAAGGAAAGAATGAATGGGGCCATGTATCGTGAGATTTTGAGTGAAAACCTCCTTCCATCAGCAAGGGCATTGAAGATGAAACGTGGCTGGGTCTTTCAGCATGACAATGATCCCAAACACACCGCCCGGGCAACGAAGGAGTGGCTTCGTAAGAATCATTTCAAGATCCTGGAGTGGCCTAGCCAGTCTCCAGATCTCAACCCCATAGAAAATCTTTGGAGGGAGTTGAAAGTCCGTGTTGCCCAGCGACAGCCCCAAAACATCACTACTCTAGAGGAGATTTGCATGGAGGAATGGGCCAAAATACCAGCAACAGTGTGTGAAAACCTTGTGAAGACTTACAGAAAACGTTTGACCTGTGTCGTTGCCAACAAAGGGTATATAACAAAGTATTGAGAAACTTTTGTTATTGACCAAATACTTATTTTCCACCATAATCTGCAAATAAATTCATTACAAAATCCTACAATGTGATTTTCTGGATATTTTTTTCTCATTTTGTCTGTCATAGTTGACGTGTACCTATGATGAAAATTACAGGCCTCTCTCATCTTTTTAAGTGGGAGAACTTGCACAATTGGTGGCTGACTAAATACTTTTTTTCCCCACTGTACATCCCTGCCGGGCCGTTCCCTCACCCACCCTGGACGACACATACGTGTACCCCACCTAGCAGACTGTTAGCTCTCCTGTACTCTACCTACAGCAGGCTATGAGCTTCACAACTGAGTTAGATGCCATGATCAGAACAAACATTTACCCCACACTTAGCTGTTATGATTACACACTCTTTCTCACGTGCTAATAATACCCTAACAGTCCAATAATCATACTATATTAATCATTCTCTGAGAGGAGTTTTGAGCCAAAATGGGAAATATTTTCATTATTTCTGCTGCAATCTGGCCGGAGAAAAATCACTAATCAATCCTCAAACATCCTGGAAGCAATTTATTCCAGGACACCGCGTTCCTGCCAGTAGAGACACTCTTTATAACTTCCCAATGACAGGCGAGGGTAGGAGGGTCGAGACTCCATCTCTGGGAGGAAACCGTTATGTCTCGTGGGTGTCATAACCACGTCTTTATAACAATTAAATGATGATGAGACGGGAGACCATTTAAATGAACGTGCTCATCTCAACACATGCAAACCCCCCATGATGCTCTGCGAATAGGGTGCCATTTGGGGACGCGACCCATGATTGGGGACACTGTGGGCTTAGCTGCATAGCCTCCAGATTGTGACCAATGGTGGATGACCAGGAAGTGAGGAAGTTCTGGTCTGTTCTTCCGAACTGGAGTGAAAACTCTGGGAAACCAGAAACCAGAGGAACGCCATCCCTCTCTCGCTCTCTCTGATGAGATGAGAGAAGAAGAGAGAGGGGAGGCTGAGGTCTAGAAAGACTGGTTGAAACACTCCAGAGTCACTTCTGAGAGAGGGAGAGAGAGAGAGAGAGAGAGAGAGAGAGAGAGAGAGAGAGAGAGAGAGAGAGAGAGAGAGAGAGAGAGAGAGAGAGAGAGAGAGAGAGAGAGAGAGACAGAGAGAGAGGATCAGAGAGTACTTTCTCTCTCCTCTCTCTCTCTCTCTCTCTCTTCTCTCTCTCTCTCTCCCTTTTTTTCCCCCTTTCCTACCCACTCTCATCGGGCCCACTCCACAAAAGTACCCTCCACTGAGAACTTCCAGACACCAAGTGGAAGCCTTACATCCTCAGTGACAGTTCTGTTCCTAATTCCATTCATACACTCACAGATCCTACGATTCATCATGTCCCTTTTGAAGACTGAACAGAGAGCAGAGCCCAGAGAAGAGAAGATCTGCTGTGAAGCCTCCAGACCGGGTCTGTCTCTTTCTCTCTGGGTTTTTCTATGAGTTCATACAGGAGCCTGGTCTCTTAATTGTCTTCTTGGATCTCAGTTATCCTCAGTGTGGAAATCATCCCCTGTTCTCTGCAGAAGCTCTTCCTTTGTCTCTCCCTCCCTCCTCTCTCTCCTCTCTGTCTCTCTTCTCTCTCTCTCTCTCTCTCTCTCTCTCTCTCTCCTCTCCTCCTCTCTCTCCCTCTCTCTCTCTCTTCTCTCTCTCCCTCCCTCCCTCACCCCCCCTCCCTCTCTCCTCTCTCTCCTCTTCCCTCCTCTCTCTCTCTCTCTCTCCCCCTCCCGCTTCCCTCCCTCCCCTCTCCTCCCCTCCCTCACCCTCCCCGCTCCTCCCTCCCCCTCCCCCTCCCATCCCCCCCCCCCCTCCCTCCCTCCCCTCCCTCTCCTTCTCTCCTCTCTCCCTCCCTCTCATCTCCTCTCCTCTCCTCTCTCCTCTCCCTCCTCTCTCTCCCCCCGTATCCCTCCTGTCCTACACCAGATTTCTTCAGGGAGTCAGTAGAGAAGGAAATGTAAGGTAGGAGGCCAGAGCCAGAGGACACTTAGCTTAGCCATAACACTGATATATAGTCCTGGATAATACAGTTATAATACAATGTTTTGCTAACAGTTACTGATATTTGCAGTGAACTTGACAGTTGGGTTAGCGCTAATAATTTACAGTACTGTTACTCTATAGGCTTGAAAGGCCTGTATCTGTTACTCTATAGTACAGAGAGGCTTGAAAGGCCTGTATCTGTTACTCTATAGTACAGATAGGCTTGAAAGGCCTGTATCTGTTGCCAACGGTTGCTGTCTGCTCCAATGGAGAAGGGAGAGGGATGTGGTCTCCCTAAAATAGCTGAAAACTGCTTGAGCAAACCCAAAACAAAGTAGAGAGCTATCTGTGTTTCATTATGGACCTGTGAGACCACTGTAAATGTGAAAATGTGATTATTTCTATGGTTCAAGCAGATTGTGGATACATGTGGATCCACTCCAACAATTTCAACTCAATTCAACTGTAAAAATCTGGATCCCTTTTCTTGTTTCAATTTTACATGTCTAACACCTTCCAAGTCTTTGACCCCTTACTGATCTCTCCGGCCAAGATCTGTCCAGTCATCAAACTGAACATCTGTCTGGATGAAATGAAAAGGCCTGAACTTCAACTCAGACCAACCACAAATCATGTGACACGAACTTGAAATATAAGTAAATATGATAATCTTATCATCAATCTTAATGCTGATGATTTCAGTATGTTGAGTTCTGTATGAGTTATGTAAGCCATGTAATCGGACGAGCTCTTGGCTCGGCCCTGCGTGAATGATCTCTCCGCCAATGTCCCAAATGGCACCCTATTCCCTATATAGTGCACTACTTTTGACCAGAGTCCTATGGGACCTGCTCAAAAGTAGTGCGCTATATAGGGAATAGGGTGCCATTTGGAACATTGCCTGTGTGTAGGCGTTATGTTGGAGCAAGAGGCTGCATTGTGTTGTCTTCCTGGGGACCATGACCTCTGACCTTTCTAAGTGTGCTGTTCTCTTGGCTGTCCTCTTCCTGCTCCTCCCCCCACAGCAGAGCCTCACGTTACCACGGTTACCGGCAGATATGAGCCTGCCAGTCAAACTTCACTTCATATGAACAGAGAGCAGTCCTGAGAAGGATCTTGATCCATTCCCAAAAACGAAATGTGGGGGAATGGGGGGGGGACAAAACAAAACAAAATATATCTCCCACTCCTTCTCCATCTTTTAGATAATTCCCCCGTCTCCCCTCAAATGGAAACCCCTCTTCTGCCTCTCCACATGCAGGGGAAGTTAATGACCAATGCACTTTGGAGGATTCTCCCATTCCAATTTTAGAGAGATTTACTGTTTAGAGAGGGGGAGAGGGGTGTGTGAGTGTGTTGGGGGGGGGGGAATAGGGTTGGAGGGGGGACGAGGTAGAGGGGGAGAGGTGGGTGTGTGTGGGGAGAGAGGGGTATGTATTGAGGGTGATATGGGGAGAGGGTGGGGGAGATGGGGTGTGGAGGGGGTTGGTTTGGCCCAACAGTATACTGAAGTCAGATCAATAGACATGACTTTCAGTGTTGGACTTGTTTGGCCAGGCCCAGAGTTTACTGGAGTTGTGCAAAAAGAAAACATTTGGACACGTGTGGCCCAACTCACAGCATGAAGCCTGGGAGGCATGGCCTGATTAGGGTTAGGATCCATGTTTACTCTTCAGATCGATCAAGAAGCAGAGTTTGAGGAGAAGCAGTGAATCCTCCAAGTGTCTGCTAGCAATCAAGGTCTGCATGATTGACGTGCTGAAGTGAAACACATCTCAATGGTTGTCAGAGTGAATTACGTTATTGGGAGGGAAAACCCCACATCTGATTGATGGTTGGGTTGATAGCATAGCTTGGCGCTTGGCTGCTCAGCTGAGAACCAGTCTTCTTCACTTCGCTGGATGGCTAGTGATTTATTCATTGTTTCACAACACCAAAACACTCTAGATGTTGTTCTAGTATTGTAGTCTTGGGTACGTACATGCCAATGACCTCAAATGATGGAAACACATCCCTGTATAGACCTTACGTACGCAAACACATACGCTCAAGACCTGTCCAGTCAAAGAGCTGATGAAGACACGTTTTAGTCCAGATACCTACTGTCCAGCCCAGTTCTCCCAGTGTGCTGGGGGTAGCTATTGCTGCTTGGGCTGCTTTCCACAAAGCAAGGTGAGGGTGAGGCTTTGAGGATAGCGGATGTTGAAGGAGATATGTGAAGATATATTTTAAAAATTCTACATCCCATTGGGTCTTCAAGTGGACCTCTACATTGAGCTTCGGCATGTCATCCATTGGGTCTTCAAGTGGACCTCTACATTGAGCTTTGGCATGTCATCCATTGGGTCTTCAAGTGGACCTCTACATTGAGCTTTGGCATGTCATCCATTGGGGCAGAAGATCAAATGCAACTGTATAGTAACTTTATAACTAATTATGCACTAAGACTCCGTTAAATACTTTACATTCCATTTGGACTCCTGAATGGATTGTGGCAGATCTGCAGACAGTCCAGCCCAGTGGTCTTCCTTCGGTGTGTTTAGACCTAGAGGTCAGTTTAGTCCAGGGGCATTAGATAACTGCAGAGGGGGAGATGGAAATATAGGCAGCCTCCCAAACTGCACCCTATTCCCTACAGGGTCCATAGGGCTCTGGTCTAAAGTAGTGCACTATATAGGGGATAGGGTGCTCTGGTCTAAGTATGTCACTATATAGGGAATATGGTGCCATTCTCTGGTCAAAAGTAGTGCACTATATAGGGATAGGGTGCCATTCTCTGGTCTAAAGTAGTGCACTATATAGGGAATAGGGTGCCATTCTCTGGTCTAAAGTAGTGCACTATATAGGGAATAGGGGGCTCTGGTCTAAAGTAGTGCACTATATAGGGAATAGGGTGCTCTGGTCTAAAGTAGTGCACTATTAGGAATAGGGTGCCATTCTCTGGTTAAAGTAGTGCCTATATAGGGATAGGGTGCTCTGGTCTAAAGTAGTGCCTATATAGGGAATAGGGTGCCATTCTCTGGTCTAAAGTAGTGTCACTATATAGGAATAGGTGCTCTTGGTCTAAAGTAGTGCACTATATATGGGAATAGGGTGCCATTCTCTGGTCTAAAGTAGTGCACTATATAGGGAATAGGGTGCTCTGGTCTAAAGTAGTGCACTATATAGGGAATAGGGTGCTCTGGTCTAAAGTAGTGCACTATATAGGGAATATACGGGGAACAGGGTTCCATTCGGGACGTATATTAGAGGGATTAGCTGTCCTCAGATGGAACAATAACTACCTCATATCAGAGTATCTAACACTAGACTGTTGGAGAGAGGCTTGGAGTAGAGCACTATATAGGGCGTAGGGGGCCATTTGGGACCTGGCCGTAGAGGGGGGTTACGGTAGAGGGATCAGTAGAGCACTACGTAGGGCGTAGGGGGCCATTTGGGACCTGGCCGTAGAGGGGGGTTACGGTAGAGGGATCAGTAGAGCACTACGTAGGGGGCCATTTGGGACCTGGCCATAGAGGGGGGTTACGGTAGAGGGATCAGTAGAGCACTACGTAGGGTGTAGGGGGGCCATTTGGGACCTGGCCGTAGAGGGGGGTTACGGTAGAGGGATCAGTAGAGCACTATATAGGGGGCCATTTGGGACCTGGCCATAGAGGGGGGTTACGGTAGAGGGATCAGTAGAGCACTACGTAGGGCGTAGGGGGCCATTTGGGACCTGGCCGTAGAGGGGGGTTACGGTAGAGGGATCAGTAGAGCACTATATAGGGGGCCATTTGGGACCTGGCCGTAGAGGGGGGTTACGGTAGAGGGATCAGTAGAGCACTACGTAGGGTGCCATTTGGGACCGGGCCGTAGAGGGGGGTTACGGTAGAGGGATCAGTAGAGCCGTCCAACAGATGGAACAATAACTACCTCGGTATCAAACACTACACCGTTGACCTATTGGGGAGAGGGGCTTGGAGTAAACAGCATCTACATACCTCACGTTGACCTGGTCAAATTGCAATGCACGATGTAAGGGTATAGGGTGCCATTTGGGACTCAGTAGAAGGGGGTTTAGTACTGGTATTAGTTGTGGCGGTAGAGTGATGAGACTATCAAACATTCGACAGCAGGGAGGGACTTGGGAGTAAACAGCCTCCGCATACCTCACATTCCTCACAGACAGGTTCGGCACTCGGACACACGCCACACCTTCAGCGCGTTCTACCATAAAAATGGGTTTTTAGCGTTACTTGAAGTCAGTCAAGTTTCTGTTTAAAATCTGACGAGGAGTATTGGTAACACTATATTAGGACAGACCGTCTGGAGACGGTCTACAGACTATCTCTAGTCTATCGGTAACATTTCAACGAACTACTAAACCCCTAAACCTTTTAGTATGTAGCAGGTTATTGTTCATGTAAAATAGCCTATCTGACATACGGAAAGTATTCAGACCCCTTGACTTTTTTTCCACATTTTGTTACGTTACAGCCTTATCCTAAAATGGATGAATTTCTTTTATATTTAATTCATTTGCAAACATTTCTATAAACCTGTTTTCATGTTGTCATTATGGGGTATTGTGTGTAGATTGATGAGGATTATTATTTTTATTAAAATCCATTTTAGAATAACGTAACAAAATGTGGAAAAAGGGAAGGTGTCTGAATACTTTCCGAATGCACTTTAAGTGCAAATTCTCAAAGTTAAATTGAAACGTGAGAAGTCTTGTTTTTTTTTTGTAGCAGGTTTCTATTGTAAAACGCCTGACATAGCCGACTATATAAGTGCACCTTTTAAAACTTCAATTGAAGTTATTCAAAAGGTAAAGTTCTGTGTTTTTCCAGATCCTGCTTTATCTACGCAGCCCATAATAACCTCCTGGCAGCTCTAACTCTCTGTTAAACACAGACAATGTGGATAAGACAACATTAATCAGGTGCACAGACACGGATAAGACAAGCAATCACATCTACGTCCACGACATGTTTACAACGGCAGCGTCCCAAATGGCACCCTATTCCCTATATAGTGCACTACTTTAGACCAGAGAACGGCACCCTATTCCCTATATAGTGCACTACTTTAGACCAGAGAATGGCACCCTATTCCCTACACAGTGCACTACTTTAGACCAGAGAATGTCACCCTATTCCCTATATAGTGCACTACTTTAGACCAGAGAATGTCACCCTATTCCCTATATAGTGCACTACTTTAGACCAGAGAATGGCACCCTATTCCCTACACAGTGCACTACTTTAGACCAGAGAACGGCACCCTATTCCCTATAGTGCACTACTTTAGACCAGAGAATGGCACCCTATTCCCTACACAGTGCACTACTTTAGACCAGAGAATGGCACCCTATTCCCTATATAGTGCACTACTTTAGACCAGAGAATGGCACCCTATTCCCTACACAGTGCACTACTTTAGACCAGAGAATGGCACCCTATTCCCTATATAGTGCACTACTTTAGACCAGAGAATGTCACCCTATTCCCTATATAGTGCACTACTTTAGACCAGAAAATGGCACCCTATTCCCTACACAGTGCACTACTTTAGAACAGAGAATGGCACCCTATTCCCTACACAGTGCACTACTTACAGTGGTCCTCTGTAGCTCAATTGGTAGAGCATGGTGCTTGTAACGCCAGGGTAGTGGGTTCGATCCCCGGGACCACCCCCATACGTAAAAATGGTATGCACACATGACTGTAAGTCGCTTTGGATAAAAGTGTCTGCTAAATGGAATATTATTATTATTTATTATAACCAGGGCCCATAGGGCTCTTTTCTATTTTAAAATGTAATTAGAAAAGTATAAAAGTAATGTCCTCTGTTTTCAAGAAAACCTTTTCCCTGCATAGTGCACTGCTTTTGGGCCCTGGTTATAAGTAGTGCACTATATAGGGAATAGGGTGCCATTCAGGACACTGTCAAGGTAAAACCTTACAGTGACAAAGCATGTTTTATTTTTAGACTCGATGTTGAAAGATCTGGCCAGGATAATTATAGTAACAATGGTACATGGGAGGATGGGTGTGTGTGAGAGAAGAGAGAGAGGAGAGAGAGAGAGCGAGAGAGAGAGAGAGAGAGAGAGAGAGAGAGAGGAATAGCGAGAGAGAGAGAGAGAGATAGAATAGAGAGAGAGAGAGAGAGAGAGAGAGAGAGAGAGAGAGAGAGAGAGGGAGAGAGGTTTTTCTCTTCAATTCACATTTATGACAGGTTAGTTAGCGGTTTAATGACAGGTTAGTTAGCGGTTTAATGACATGGTTCCATTGTTCTCCGCCTGACCTTAAATAAAACACCCCACATCATTCCAGTCATCACCAGGTTGTGATGTCACAGCCCTGTTACTCATTAACAGTCTGAATGACAATGTCCAATTTCAGACTTTATTTGCTTTGGCCACGCTGCCAATTCACCAAACGCTGATTTTATTACTCGGTCATCTGTCATACATAATCAAAGCAAAGCGGACACCTTATCTATCTGTAATACCTGGGGACCATCAGGTAAAGACTGATTTTAATAGTCATTCATCTATTATAATGTAATCTGAAAAAAAAAAACACCTTATCTATCTGTAATACCTTAGAGACTGCACCTATTTACCACCGTCTGTCCCAAATGACACCCTATTCCCTATTTAGTTCACTACTTTTGAGC